TAATTTCACGATGAATAGTAATTTCAAAACTATCGCACCTGCATGCGTTGCTGACTTTAATATTCCTCCTGTTCAATTTCCCCGAGGAACGCAGACATTTCGTCCACAATGTCAAATGCCTGGAACCTCGGCTTCTCCAAATTTCCTCCCTGCAGGCCAGAATTCGGGTTGTACCCCAAATTTTCCTGTTTCTGTGGGTAGTATTGCAAGATTTGCTTATCCCGTCTACTCGGCCTCTATACCAACACAAACGGAACTAGAATCTAATGTATATCGAAATCAGGCTCAAAACTTTCCGCCTTCCCTTGGAAATCCGATTCATCAGACCGTTTACCATTGTACACCAAACAATGCTTGTCCTACATCTATCTCGCAAGCAACTGGAAATTCTGTTATTGTGCCTACAGCGCAGATATGTTCCTGCTCGTCGACCACGACGCTGACACCTCCCTTTACTTCTACAAAGACGTCTTCGGTGTCGGCTTCTGGTGATTTCGATCGGAAACTTATGTCTGAGGCGGATACGTCAGTCGCAATCTCAGCTTATACAAAGTACTATACTGATGTACTGGCATATTTTAAGACACTTTTAAATGCCATCGAGGATCCGCCTCCACCTACTGACCATAAAGCTTGTCATGCTCAAGTAACATCGCATCAGGTACGTCGGCAGTTTATTTCGTCCGGTTGGGGTATGTACTGTTTTGCCGGCCAATGTGTGGTCGATGGAGAAAATTTACCTTGGCGTTATTTAATCTATCGACATGTGTTGTCTGGGGGATTTGGCTGTAGAGTGCAGATTATCTGCCCAGCCCTTTTAACGTTGTTCGGAAGCCAAACCAGTAGCAGGGTAAATAAAACAGGCGCGCCTTAGACTTCCTTTCGCGAATTCATTAAGAAGACCACTAAACGGGATTCTTCGTCAGATCAAATCATCGCACTGGGTTCATATTGAAAGTTACCAGGTCTTCGAATTCTTGCACGTGGCAGGCTGTAACATTGCTCTGTATGATTGGCGCAGTTCTAATCTGTGCGTACGTTTGTTTGCAGCGGGGTGGACTTGTGCCAACCTAACTTCCCACTTCCGTGATATTCAAACAGCAAGACACCAGAGATGGACTGAAATAGACTAGAGTTAAGCATTCAGTCTGTTCGGTTTCTGTACAGTTTGCGTTACCGTTAGTGCGTAAATGGGAGCTTGTACAAATAATTGAACTAACGTGGTGAATTTGCGTGCGGAACTATATAAACTTGAATGATAGGCGATCTCTAAGGATAGTCCTTCTTTGTAAGTATGCCGAGTGGGCCGGTGCGGTACCTGAAAGTGCCTTCACAGTTCAGGCAGGGTAGATGCGTGGGACAGGTAATGGCTAGCAATTGTACTAAAATCACGCTGTGGTGGAGTAGCGATGCTCGATCAGGTTGACGCGTAAGTGAAATACGTGGTCAAAGTTAGGCAAGATTACACTGCTAAGTATTGCCTCCTATGTATCAGAGAAGTCTTCCCCTTTGACGATACAGTGTCTATCAAGTTATCCTTACAAGACTAATTCTGCACTCAGACAGATGTTGGCAATTGGAACCCCCTGACACTCCAGTTCATATGCACTTGTTTTCACCTTGGCCTCTACTATACGACTTACTACAGATATTGCTGCCCCAATTTTATTGCAGCATGCTACTTCTGTCCGTATCACACACGAATTTCCCACGTTTCCTGTTTGAACATCAACCCGGTACTCCTATGATCATGCCTAACTTAGCCGGCATCGATAATGTCCTGGATTGTACCTCTCCACGAGTGACGAACTGCGACAACAGATCTCGATAGTTCAATCAAATTGCCTTACCACTAAGTTCAAGAGCCACTTCCGTATTTTGTCGAGTTGTGTCCAGCTGGGTTTTGAGCTGACTCGCTCTTCGACGCCCCCAGATGGGTAACGATGCTGGGTCGAAAGGTGTAACACTGAGCTTTTAAGGTAGGTAACGAAGAACTTGCCCAAGGTTCCTCGGTCGTCTTTCCTGGATGGCCTGAGACATCCTTTCGATTTTTCGTAGCAAATATAGGCTCTCTCATCTGAGACAAAATCAGTGCACTTCATTTAACGAATAGTCCTCAAGCATAGGCGGTCAAATATCTCCGGCAGCCTCGGCCCGGGGTATTTAAAACTGCCTATTTCTTCAAGTTGACAGCCATTAATCTCGAGAGGTGCTTTCTCTTGGTCATGGATTTAGCTTGAAAATAGTTTGGTTTTTCCGGCATTTAAGAATAAGCCAACTGATTTAGCGACTTATTTCACCCATGACACCGTTGACTGCAAATCACCAACATGTGAAGCAAATAAGGCGATATCGTCGGTGTGGTCACCCAGCTGCTTACGAATTGTAGAACGGCCTTCAATGAAGGTTAGCTTCTAAATAATCAGATTCGATAGTCTGATGAAAAAGTAGTCGCTGACCAGCGACAGTGACTCCAGGGTGCAGCAGGCTGAAATATGGCACACCAAAGGCTTCTAAAATGTCGCAAAGCCTGACGAGGGTCCTGTGACGCGCGATCGTGAACTGCAAGTAAATACGTTTGTTCGCCTTGTTGTAAAGTTCGAGCCTAGCGGGCCATGTCGCTCAGGCAATTTGCAAATTATCGATAAATGTTCATCAATTGTCCGATTTTTTCTTATTTTTGTTCCTTGTTTAACCTATATTCATAGGCCCCAGACAGTATGGAACACAAGGTTCCTGACCCAAATGTCGATCCATGGGAACACTCAAAAACCGTAATGGATGGATACTTTAGTCGGCTTGATGGTTCTCGCAACTGGGATTGGGCCTCCTGGCACAATTATCTCAGTTGGATCTCCAGAACTCATCCCGAGTGGTTTCGCCTCTTTACTGATTGCAGTAAACAAATGGGAATAAATTGGGACGAAATGTATCAAAAGTGGTTATCCTCCCAAGCCGTTGTGGAAAACACACAGCATGTTTTTGGTACGTTTCAGCCTTCTGTTTTATGTGGTGGTTCAGTCCTGTGAACTTATCTTTGCAGATTCTTTTGTCACCGAAAGTCTTATGCGTAGCTTCTAGAGTTGTCAGACTTTTTTTCGAAGGTGTCTGTTTACGCCTATGTAACATCTAAGCCATTTTCATTTGCCTCTATTATTGAATCTGTTAGTTCATTATTGTTGATAAATGATTTCGTAGTTTTCCTTTGATTCTATTTCTGCCCTTTTGCTTCGGACCGAAAGCTTCTACCGAGATTCCAATTTGAACGTAATTTCTCTTTAGCTTAGACTACTGTCGATTCACATTTCTTTATCTACTCCCACAAATCTTCTTATCTTAAAACATCCTCCATAGATCTGGCAATAGAATTGGCATGGTGACCGCCAAGGCCAC